GGAAAAGGGGGGGTGCCCCCCCCCCTGCCACTGCTGGGCTCCAGAGTCAGGGACGCATCTCCAGAGCCTCTCTGGGCAGGCGCTGGCGCCCTGTGGCCGTCTGGGACATCCAGTATCTAGGGAGGAAGCAAAGTCTTAGAGGAGCAAGCAGCCCCTCTCCCCAGCGAGGAGGTTTAACAGCAGTTGCAGCTACTTGGGGTGCTGGAGCCAGACCCAGGCAGAGCCTCCGCTTCAGGGAGCGAGGCAGCCTTCTGCAGCCAGGAGGACACCGGCCCTCCCGCATCCCGTAACACGTTTCAGTTGGCAAGCTGTCCGGATTGCCGCTCCCCAAAGTCTTAGAGGAGCAAGCAGCCCCTCTCCCCAGCGAGGAGGTTTAACAGCAGTTGCAGCTACTTGGGGTGCTGGAGCCAGACCCAGGCAGAGCCTCCGCTTCAGGGAGCGAGGCAGCCTTCTGCAGCCAGGAGGACACCGGCCCTCCCGCATCCCGTAACACGTTTCAGTTGGCAAGCTGTCCGGATTGCCGCTCCCACATCGGCCCAGTACAGAGCAGCCTCCAGATGCCAGGCTAGGACGGTGCCTTAAAGCCGTCAGGGAGGTGTCAGCTATCCCGAGACTACTGGCTCATCTCTCCTAGCACCAGCAAGTTTCCCGGAGGGAAGCCAGCAGCCACTTGACCCAATTTAGACAGTTACGTGCCTACAACAAACTCAAACTCAACACAGAGACCGTCCCCATGGCCAAGAAACAGACAGCGGCAGGCTCTTTAGAGGAAAGGATTTCCAAGACCACCCAGAAGACTCGCAGCAATCTCATGACCTTCACTTACCCGCAAAAGCTCCTCATCTCCCTGTTCCTTCACAAACACTTCCTCCAGTTCCTGGTTTAGCCCTTCCAGGCTCCTATGCAAGCAGGGGCTGAGCCTCAAAATGGGAGCTGGAGAAAGGCAGCCTGCAGGGAAGTCCTGTAACAATCCAGAATCAAAGTTAGCTGTATCTGCACAACCTCAGCAGTTCCATCCTGTTCCCGCAGCTCTCCAGGGCTCAGCCAAAGCCTTCCAGGAGGCAGACGGGAGAAGACTGACAGCAGTCATGTAAACCCTCCAACTGCAGACCAAAGCACAGGGTTGAAGAGGTGGGGGAAGAAGAGGAAAAAAAAAAAATTCTCCCTTCTTGGGGCATGAGAGCTGAAGTCTGAGAACAGCTTAGACACCTGCCCAAAGGCGCTTGCTCTCCACCTCGCTAGGGCATACGGCGACAGCAGAGCAGGGGGAGACGTCAACGTACCCTGAGCGATCCAAGGACAGCATGGTCCCCCTGGAGTGGGGAGCTCTTCTCCTTTTCTTTGCCACTTCTGCCATGTAGCTTTGTTCTCTGGAGCTGCTGCTTCAGTTTGGCAATCTAGCAAACAAAGTTTCAGCTACAGAACCAGACAAGCCAACACACCTCCACCACGAAGGATCATGCCTTGCCTCTCTCCTCCCCCTCTCTTCCAGCCCACGAGGAAGTGCCAAAATAGAGATGGTTTCAACCACACAAGCAGCAGCTCTGGCCACCTCTCAAAGGATGGACCAGAAATACTCGCAAGGCCTCCTCACAAACTCCCCCGCTGCAATGTGGCTGGTGCCCTTCCTCTAGTCACCTCCCACCGACAGATCGTTAGGAACCAGGCCCCACCGGACCCGCGTACGCCACGACACCGACGAGCAACGCGCTGAGCTTCAGTGGGGCTGCTTTACAACAGCGGCCCGCTAGAGGAAGCCAACAAGACCAGTCTTTAGTTGAACCACAGAGCGTTAGGGATGAGAGCGGGGTAAGGTCTCATCGTCAGTAGTATCCTGTCCTCCCACTCCCCTCCCACGCAAGCAGGAGCCTGCCATACATCAGCAACTACCGCAGATCTTGCTCAGGCAGGGGAGTGGTCTGTTTTACCTCTCTGCGGTGATCTGTGCTACCCCAAGAAGCAGAACGCTTGTGAGCACTGGAGCTGGCTTTCCCCACTTCCACGTCATGCCAGGACACTGGAGTCTGAAGTGATGAGAAACACGGCTGAGAATAATCACAACATTTACTGGTGCAGAGACTGGAGGAGGAGTCCTGAGAGTAAGTGATCAGCTACTGCCCCTTCGCAGCCCTATTCCAGTCTCCCCCCGCGAACGCAATCCTCACTAACGTGCATCAAGAGAAAACCATCCAGTTGTATTTGCCAAAACAAAGCCACTTGGGCCAGATCTGTGCCTGCTGGGAAACGGACTTGACAGACCTACATGGCCAAAGACCCGCCCTGAAGCCAGGGGCTTCATCACCGCAAGTGCCTGGCGCGACAGAGGGCACCAAACCATTACCCCAGAGGAACAACCGCAGCCGTCCCCTGCGCTGCCGGCAGGGGCTCCCGCCCGATCACCGGTGACGCAGGGTTTCAGGCACTCACTGTACGAAGCTGCATTACCAAGAGGAAAAGCCTCACCCAACTGTGAGAACACACAACTTGCTTCTGAGACCTCAGGCTCCCGTACCGGAGTTCAAAGGCGTAACCAAGACCAGAGCTTGGCCTGCAGACGACTGCTGCTGTTGCCGGAGCGCTGGAAGAGCCCAGCCGCCTCTCCAGCTCGCATCCCTCCCTCTGCAGGGCTGGCAGCTCTCAGCTGACTCTTCGTGCGGAACAACAGCCTCAGCACCACGGTACACAGCTGTTTTCCAAGCAACAGCTTTATTTTGAATATCAATGGACATCAGAAAGGGCTGTTAATCTGATCAGCAAAGGGTGTGAACTTCCTTCCACTGAACTCAGCCCTCTCGGCAGAGACTCCAGGATCAGAACAGTCCCAAGGCACATCCTTCCAAGACCAGCCATCATTTTTTCCCAACATCACATTTCAGTGCCTCTCGGAACACTCACCCTATGTCACTGCTGCCTGCCATTTCTGTGGGAGGCTTTGGACGACACCTCCCTCCTCCATCCTCAGCCACAGGCTGCCAGAAGGTGCAAGGGCCTGAGAACAGTTTAACTGATCTCCCCAGAGGTTACTGCAAGAACAGCAGCTGTTTTAAACAACCCCGTTCAGCCACGAGGATGACAGAAGCCTCTTCTCTCAAAGCAGGTTTAAAATCTAAACCAAGGGAACAAGGCAAGTTTGCTAGAGAGGCACCAGCTTTCCCTTCTGTAAAGGGATACAGGTGATTTCTTGGCAGAAATCCAACCCTCTCCTGACTTAACGGGCTCTGACCGAAACCCCTCCCTACACACGCCACTGCACGCAGAGCACGCTGCACTCCCTACGGCTCAAACCATCTCTTGTCCGGGTCTCCATTCTGCAAGGCCTGCAAGCAGCAGACACCGTAGTACAGAAAGTTGTTGATTTATAGCGTTCATTTTGGCTTGAGAGAAGAAATCCATTCAGCCTGCACCATTGCTCCGAGTCCTGCTAAGCTCAGAGCAGTTGGCCGCAGCCATCCCTGGGCTACCCCGAACCGTGCCAGCGCGCCCCGAGGAGCAGACCAGCGCAATCGGAAAGCCTACAGCAAAGACCAGCCTTGCAGTTCCAGCACATGGCACATCTGATCTCATTTCCTACCTCAAATATTCTCTCCTAAACAACTCAAACATCATTATTTGGCCGTTATCCCAAAACATTGTGTCATTTTATATCCCAGCAGATCGCGCACATAAGCAAGCTAAGGAGAGAGGCAAAGGTCTTGGAGACAAGACCGCAGGCCCAGCCCACATTACGGCAAGAGGCGAGGCTGTGGGAAGCCGAAATCCAGCTGCTAACACCAGCCCTGCTTTGCAGGACGAGACAGAAACTCTCCTCAAGTCACGGGAAGCCTCCTGAGCCGTTGGAGAAGTCACTCACTGCAGCCTATTGCCGTGATACCCAGGGCACGAGCCCTGCACCGGTGCTCACAAAACCCCCCTAGGGCCTAAAAAGGAAGAAAAGCCGCTGTTTGCAATAGGAAGATGAAGAGTGCGCACACGTCCCACCTCTCGCAGGCGGACTGCCGAGGCAGAAGGAAATTACAGAACCTTTTGTACCAACTGTGGCAAAACCGCTTCCTCAGAAAAAGGAGAGAAAGAAATGCTTTGCACAGCAAGATAAAGCCACAAGCTCCAATCATGTACAGTGCTGCCATCCTCACCCCCACGCTGAGCACCTGCAGTTCTATCTCTCACTTAACCACCTCATGAGAGCAAATGTACAGAGCTCTGCAAAACAGCTGATCAGGAGCTGAATAAGGAGGGAAGTAAACACATACTGGCTAGCAGAGAGAGTCCCAAGTTTGGTAACTATTAAGCCTGAAAACATGGAAGGAGTGGCAAAGTCCTGGAGGTTACGGGGAGGAACATTTTGGGGAGGCACCGGGCAGCCTAGAACAGAGGACTCCGTTCCCAGCTTTCAACAGAGAAGGCATTGGACGCACAGAGGTTTGTGTGGGAAACAGCGCAGATCCCTGCTCAGCTCACAGGCATGTGGCAAGGTGAAATTAGCATTTGCAAGACCCTTGCAGATAAGCGATGAAAGGCTGCGGCACACCTGGCCTGTGGCTGCAGAGAGGAGCCATCAGCTCCATGCTCTGGTATCTGCCATTCCGGGAAGAAGGAGGTGCCCCCATTCACCAACCCTTTCCCCAAAAGGGCCACATTTGAGAAAAGCTAATTAGCCCCAAAACACTGGGCTAAGTGTCCCCACCACTGCTGCTGAAGACAGAGAGGAAGGGTGCGCTTCCCGAACTCAGGAATAAAGTAAAATTCTTTCCCTTCCTTTCCCGCATGCCCCCTGCCCTCAGCAGCGCTCTTGGGCACTGGAACTCAAACAAAAGCGGGCAGGATCGCTTTGGAAAAAGGACAATGGAAGTTGGAATCCAATTGAGAATTTCCTGCAAACAGCCCAGTAATAAACTGTTGAATAGCAAAGATCAAACAGCAAGTTAGCAGAGAGTGAATGTGCTAAATAAACGACTTATTAAGCAAACGGATGCTCTTATCCTTCTAAATTCTTTCCCCTCTGCAGATAGGCAAGCACCATTCGCCGCCATGCAGTAATATTTACAGGTTGCTAAGAGTTCCACGCGGTTTGGAACTTTGCCATTCCACAGTAGAGCTGCGCTGTTCCTGCTAGCGAGCCCTTCTGCAGGAGCACCCTTGACTTCTCGCAGCGTGTGGCACACGGCCCGCGAGTGTTGTATAAGGACTTGGCCCAGAACCGCAAGCCAGAAAAAAATAGTGCTGAGCCAGTACTGGAGCAGAAAGCCAGAGGCCATCTGCCTCCAAACAAGGCCAAGGAAATTCTAACTTGGCACCAAAGTGAAATCGATTGAAGCTGAGAAGCAGGGAGGGGGGGGGG